CAAAAGCGGTAGCCTCACACTTTGCACACTCATCATTTGTCTATGAATCGAAGCAGTAAACCATTGGCGCAATCCACATAACCAGGGTTTGTCGTCCAAGTATCCGTCCTTATAAAAAAATCATACTTAATAAAGTTCTTGAAACGGGGAGCGCTGAACTGATATAGGGAAAATCACTGCAGGGCCAGAAACCTGTCACGATGCCAAATGTGCTCCTGTATCTCGATAATGATTTGTAATATCTGAAAAACTGAGTATCCAGAGGCTGGATCTTTCCGTACATCCTTTAGATACCAGTTCTTTTTTGTAGAACTATACCATTAGGTACTTCGGAAGCAGACAATGCATGAACATACAAGAAATAGAGATGTCACTACGGGATTATGTCCATCTATACACATTTTAATGATACTTTGTGGGTCCTATAGCTCCTAAACGCTTGTCTCCCTGCCCCTAAGACTTCATAATTTTCTACTTGTGACATAAGCTTTCAGAAAATGTATGGGTTTCCGGCAAACCGGTATCAAAGGAGAGAGTGTTTACTTCTGAGTTTTCAGTTATCTGAAGTAGCTTCTATACGCACTCGAACAATACAGAACTCTAGAAACAAACTCTTTACACCCTTCTGATCAGACATCGTTAAGTCTTCCTTTTCAAGGCGGGGCGTTAAAATTTATTAGTGATAACAGAATTAACTTACGCCAGCACAACGTTTTAAAAAACTTAAATTTTCCTGTTGAAATGGCATACAAATCGGACATAAATGTGGTTTATATACTGGAGATACATAAAAACGTTAGCCAGTATTACATCGGAAGAGGAGGTGACAAATTCATTCATTGTGTGGTCTAAACTCCATCATATAAGGTGTTTGTACATGGTGTTTCACGAAGGACCCTCTAACTTTGGAGAAAAAAAAAAAAAAAAAAAAAAAAAAAAAAAAGGAAACGGTAATAGATAGAAGCATGAAACAAGTGGTATGTTTATTAAAAAACCGTAATAATCTGATACAGAAACTCAAATTTAGTTACAAATTGGCCCTGTGGGTGGCATTGCGATAAGAAGTTTTGCAAACTCTCGTTGCATTCACATCAAAAGCGATTCAAAATGCCAACCTTTCACACAACACGCATGTGGCAAACGAAGAATGAAATTCTCAATCATCCTCTGTAGTGTATCACTGGAAACTGACACACTCGTTTGACAAATAGCCTCCTCCAGCTCGTCGAGCGTCCTTCAGTGTACCCCACAGAAAGTAGTCGCAAGGGGTGAAATCAGATTAATAAGGAGGCCAGTCGATTCTTTTCCCCGTAACTGTCGAATAGTTCAACGCAATAACTCTATCATCAAAGTATTTGTCCAAAAAGTCAAAAACATGTCATGTACGGTGTGGACAAGCCTCATCTTGCATGAAGAACGCCGTGTCTGGTCGATCATACAACGCTTGTTGAGTTGTTACAAATTGTTCCAAAAGCGCAATATATCGGTCAGCCGCCAAGAAAAAGGGCCTAATGATGCTTTTGCAGAAGAGTGCAGCCCAAACGGTACGTTTGGGGCAGTGGAGTGGTTGTGTGGAGATAAATGTGCGTTTTCAGTACTCCGAAATCGCAAATTGTGTCTGTTAACGATACCATCCAGATGAAAATGGGCCTCGTCTGTAAAACACACTCGGCCGACATCGACACCAGAAACATCAATCAAGTCGACCATCTTGTTAGCAAATCTTGTCTCTTTGTCATTCAGCTTGAACTAGTATAGCGTGCTAGCATCGAATCGTGTACGGAAATATGTGTAATGTCTTCCGCAGGATTCTGTAAGGGCTGGATGGCATGTTTCCGGATTCAGCTGCAAGTCTGCGGACAAATTTATTCGGATGACACTCAATAACTGCAGCAAGTCTCTGGATTTTCAAGTGTAATGAAGGAGTGGGTGGGACCCACATTCTGATAAATAGTTTAGGAAATTAACGAATAGGGGAAATGTGTTTTGCTGACAATAATAATTAAAATTTGAAGTTTTTAATTTTATCCAAAATAATCGCATTAATGGTTGTGAAAAAGATTCAATTATCTCAAGGTTAAGTCTTCCGAAGTTAAAGCTTCACATCGGAAATATTCTTTAAATTAGCATTCACAGTTATAATAAGTTTTCTCCAAACTTTCGCTTCTTCGAGCTAACAAGTGTAATAAAATAATTCTTAAAATTTTGCAGTAAATGAATAAAATATGAAGCAAATCGCAAATAACTCGTGAAATTTACTCGTAATTTCGTGGCTGAATATGGAAACCTCTTTCAGTTTCTGTAGCGATTCTAAAATTATTTCATCTTGCTGTATTACTTCCTTCTCGCTTGCCGTTTTCCTACAGGGAAATTGTGGTCACGAAGGGTACATAGATATCATATCTCTTATTGACGCAGCTGAACTTTCTACGATAAAATAAATCAATCTCTAGTAAGGTACAATTTGCTATTTATAGTTTTCATTATCTAGATAGTGGTTTAGTACTATTTGCTATAGCTCTAATTTGTAAATTTTGAGAAAGGCATTTTAAGATTTGAATGTTATTGAAAAAGGTACGGAAAAGCTTAGCGAAAGCCACATAATGTTCATAGACTGAAGCAGTTTATTTTCTGACAAAAGCAAGAAAATTACATCTACAACCTCGATTGCTCAACATTTCTCTCTGTAAACAGAAAAAGATTTACATTATGGACTTAAATCTGATATAATTGTTAAATTAAAAAATGCCACCTTACCTATTTTGTTATTGCTGCTTAATCAGTCTTGGCGAAATATGAAATGGCTGTCCGCTTAAAGAAACGTTGCCTTTCTGTGGAAAACTGGATCGTATTCACATTAAATATTAGTACAGATGTTATACATACGTGTTCCCAGATAGAGTAGTGGTTAGTGAGAATGACTGCCGTACCAGAGGGTTCGGTTTCAAACCCCGCAGAAGGTATGGATATTTGTAAGCGTATACTATATGTGCCAACCTTAAAAACTGGGAGATTTTTTGCGAGAAAATAGGGAGATATCGAGAGGTTTTCATGCTGCGAGCCCACGCCATTTTCAATTCCAAACTCACTTAACTTTATAACTGGTGCCGGATTTATGTATAAGCTTCACAAGCACATCAAAAATTGTACCATATCCCATATAAATAAAAAATTGACTTATATCCCTCGAAAAGGGCCCCATATCCCAAGTAGCTTAGCATCTCGTCAAACCTACATCCAGTCCTGTATATAATATATGGTTCTGGTAAATTAACTATTTGTAATTAAATTCTGATGTAAAATTAATTGCATTATATTAACATTTGATAACATATTCTAAATTTTGATGGTCTTTGGCTAATTTCATTTTGTAATTTTCTTACACTTTTACAGAAAATCCCGAGCAGTGAAAGAAAGCTTTTATTCCTGAAAGTACTTTTAAATACGATGAAAATAAAATTACGTGGAAAAAATTGGCAATGTATGATATAATTGAAGCAAACAAAATTAAATTCCGATTAAACATTGCTTAAATCTTCATATAAAATATATACAAGATTCTACGTAGATGTCTACAATAGAAGATGTCTAAATGTCTACAGTAGAAGAGATAACTCAGATGAAATGAAATTTACGAAGACAATATAAAATGTAATAAAAAATACAATTCGGTTGAAATAAAATTTAAGGAAATTATTCTGATTATTACTAAAGGGATAGAGGAGTGGAATTTGCCTAGCTGAATTTTCATTAATTCAATAAATTTCGTTTGGTGCTGGGAAACTTTTTCTTTAGTAGAGGCTAAAAATTAAAAACCAGGAGATTCAGTGAGCGACTGAGCTCTGTGATGAAAAACCAAATCTCCTTGTAAAACCTGAAGAGTTGGCAGCTACGGTATAGTATCTGCGCGACAAGGAGGCATTCAAAATACACAGCCAACCAAAATGCGCTGGAAATGTTGGTAACAGTGATCCCTCGCAGATTCCCTTAGATGGATGCACAGGTTCCGGGCCTTGCTTCATCCTGTTCCTGTTATACATGTTAGTTTTAATCCCATGCAAGTAAACCGTCGGCCGGGATTCAAATCCAAATCGACCACTAGTTTCAAGAGGTTTTTTTCTAGAACGCATTTCCTTCTACAAAATTTTCAGCTCATTTATTCATACCAACATAAAATACAATTAACGAACATAATTAAAATAATAATTCAGTCCTTAAGCAGGTTCACATGACTTCCACGTAGGTTGATGGACAGCGAATGGAACATGATGTTATGTTTGTAGGTTACAGCTCATATTTGTAAGAATATAAATACCAATTATTTTGATTAAATATGTGGTACGGATAACAAGTTTATCAACGAAACACATAGAATGCTTCAGCCAATGCGGATACAAATGCGTCAATTGGCGATAATTACATATAAATTTGTTTACGTAAAATAATTTATTGGAAAACCTTTAAGAATGAAGATCGCTAATAACAAAATTGAAAGTTTGGCTTACAAAAAGATGGTTCGAATAATATGTAACGTGTTAAACTTCTACAGTATTGTCGTCCGAACATAAAGCACATTTCCTACGCTCATGGATTCCAGAGAATTAAATAAACGAAAACTTTTTCCTAATACCGAATTGGAAATCGTGATGTGTAAAACTTAAAATACGAAAATTCATGGAAAAATTTTGCGTAACTCACAATCGAAGTTCAAGATATTACGTGCTTAATGATTTTAGAATAATATTTTAGTTTACCTAAAAATGGTATTCATATTAAGTTATGTTGTCAACAGTTGAGTACTTTACCCTACTTCCAAAGCTTTATTTCAATTTTTCATCGCAGAAATAGTAATCTGATAATATGAATTTTTTAATTCGTTCATAAATTTTTATATATTATTAAAACATTACATTTTCATAGTTTCGGTTATCAGACACACGTTAATGTATTCTTTAAAAAAATATGTTGCTTATCACAATAAAACTTTCATTTTCTTTCAGGCCGGAATTATTGACTGCAAACGAACCCGTCCAGGATCCCAGTAATTTCTTTTTCATCGACCGTCTCCTGTATCCGGAAATGCGAGAGCGAGACGATTTGGTAGTTTTGGGTGTAGACCTCCAAGCTTTGTCCTCTGCAGTCCTTTGCAACGAAGAGAATCCAAATCCTTCCTCTGGAAACATTCCTTCTCGCCAACTACCGAATTATAATAAGACTTTCAGTGTCGGCGGGCAGCAGGACTGCACGAGGCTGTTAACACCCAATAATAAGCAAGCATGCAACTCAAACAGAGCAACAGCCCTGCAGGAATGGTATTCTACGCTCGGGCCTGTGACTTCCAATGCCGCTACTTTCGGTGTAGCTCCGACTCCGAAAACGGCCCCACAGAGGCAACGCCGAGGTGGTGGCCGTAGGGGAACTGCTGTCCCAGAAGAGGATAAAATATTTCCCTGCCCTTATGCAGGCTGTGCTCGTGTCTATTCCAAAAACTCTCATTTACGTGCGCATTTGCGCCGCCATACAGGAGAGAAACCATTCGTATGCCAGTGGCCTGGCTGCAAATGGCGCTTTTCAAGGTCGGATGAACTTGCCCGCCATAAGCGTTCTCACTCAGGTGTTAAACCATACCAGTGTACTGTGTGTGGAAAGCGCTTTGGACGATCTGACCATCTCGCCAAACATGTCCGCATACATAGGAAACAGGGGTATGTGGTTCCCCCAAAAACGAAATCAGTCAAAGTTCAAATTTTAACCCCACGTGCATGAATGTACTGTTGTGTTTCGTATCTTCCGTTTTTTCAGTTGCCAAAGTTAAATAAATTATTTTTATTGGATGTCAGTTTTTGTTCCTTTTATCTATTCATGCTTAGTAAACTTATCAAAATGCGGATTTTAAGGGATGAATATCGAGTTTTTCCACCAATATTAAGTATTTCCGAGAATTTCAAATGCTTTTCATATTTTCTCATTTCAATAATAATTGTGAGATTTATTTTTCACACTTGAGAAATTTTAATGCTGTTTTCATAGAACACGTACACAAAAAAGCACAGTAATCTTAACCAAACATTAACAACTGTTTGTCAAATTTCTTTGCAATGAAAACCAGTTTTCTAAGCTGTATGGAACTTTCTTTATTGTCAGTATAGATACTGAGCAATCTTTTCATAAACTTGAGAACATGTTGCAAAATAGCCAACCCTATAATGAAGAAAATCTGTGTAATCTAAATGCAGTCCATTTAAATAAAATCTTGGTGTCATATAACTGCATTAATATAGACTGAATTAGATTAGTTTATAAAATATTAAAATTAATGGCATTCAGAAAAGGTGGTTATTTTCTCCTTTTCTAAAAAAGGTTATTTTCTTATATATTGAACCTATTTCTGCACGCACTTCCAATTAAAATTTCTCAAACAAAAGAGAAATGTTTTAAAACAATACTTTGAGTGCAATGGTTTCGTAGACGAGAAATCTTAATTTTTTTCTCTTGACCCCATAGAGCAAAAAATTCTCTTCAGTATATGCTTAAATAAGATAAAAACAAAATATTCTGTGCTATGAGGTATAGAGATTTATGTAATCAAACTGGCTACAAATTCAAGACCATGTACCAATGCAGAATCACTGCTGAAACCAGAAATTTCTCCCGAAATTCCACTGTGATAATTAATTGAAACTCTTACATAGTATAAGTCCGTAAATAAATTACTAAATATCATGATGAATTCAGAGGTAAGCCATGGCACTATTTGCTAAAATGTTAATGTTTTACAAAATGCTCCCTTCCCATTGTCCATAAAAAGTTAGATATTGTATCCACACAACCTCCCAACAGCAATGTCGAAACTGTTTTTCAAAAGCATTTTATACCTTAAGTGTCCCAAAAATGATTACAAAGTTTTTTTTTTTTAATTTATCTTAAAGACGCATTATGATTGGATGGATAAGGGAGGATGTGGTCAGCCTTTTATTTAGTTTTTAAGTTTTTAGTTTCTGACTATAAAAAAACTTACTACCTTAACCAAAACATATCATGCCACGTTTCTGCACGCTAGCGATAACAGCACAGGCACAAGGAAGATTAACTCACAAAAAACAGTTTACTTCACATGGGAAAAAGTTCAGAGTTTAGTTGCAACACTGCTATACATGAAAAGACAGTTAACATTTAATTTAAAAGTTCATTACATGTTTGCTGCAACATAAAATGCCACCGAAATACATTAACTTAATCTTGTATATTAAAACATTTCCAATATATCTTTAAACAACAAATTAAGCTGTTTGATAAGATGTGATTAAAGTTTTATAAATCTGCAAGATTTATTGATTCTCAGCCTCACTTCATTTCCACTAATATTCAATTTGAAGTTATAATAAACAAAGTACCTTTTAAAGGAAAGGAAACTTCCAATCTTTTTGTATCATTACTTCAGGCTACCATGCATTTCTTGACAAGTGTTGCCACTTTAAAAACAATCTTGCATGTAGTCTCATGCATAGCAAGGTTCAGTATTGACACTTTGCAACACATAATGTTTTTAATTCAAATTTAATTAATCTTTAACTGTTGACAAGTTGAAATTAACAAGTTGAAAAAATTACACACATTTCTTAATTTGAATTTAGTTTTTATTAACAGCTAAATGATAGAAATTCATTTAATTTATAATATGTATTCAACTTTTTATGAATAAATGCAGCACAAAGGAAGGAAATCTTTCTAATGCCAAATGTTTTGCTTTTTATTACATAATAATCGCTATTTTTAATTCGTCCACCATAGCGCTAACAATGCCTTATGCCATTCTCACCACACATGCTAATAAATACCTGACACAAAGACTGAATTTTATTGTTCAAAATCAATTACTAAAATTTTTTAATTGAAAGTAAGAGTCTAGAATCGATATGTAACATATTAAAGGTGTAACATCTTTTTCAAATGCATTTTGTGTTGATGACAGGAGGCAATCAACTAGAGTTTAGACTTATTTTAGAATAGGTACTTCATGGTTATTCCTCCTCTTACTGTCTTACTCACAATCATGGTGGTCAAATCCTCTAATTTATTAAAATCTCTTTTGTGTGGACTGTAAAACAAGCAGAAGCTCATTAAAGTACCTATTTCAAACTAATAAAATATAGTTCCATCCCATTTTTGATGAAGAACCTCTGTAGAACACATCAGAGGTGTCTCTTATCCCTCTTCTCCTATTACCATCATCTACAGAAGACAGTATTTTAAGTACTACCATGATGCAAAGACACTACACACTTACAAATATCTCTGCCTTCCCTAAATTCAAACACATGCTCAAGGTTCTGGCAGCCAGATTCACTATTATTATGCTAACATTCAAATATAACAGTGATGGAACATCTTATGATTCAATGAATCCACATTCACACTTTTGCTGTAAAACATGAATGCACATGTAATATCAACCAATGGAAATTCTGTGAAAGTCGGAAGTATTTCTGTAATGATCTTGAGCACATTCATACTGTATAGCATAATTCAATTCAAAAGAAAAAGTTAACCCTCTTGCTGCAAACTTTTTTTTTTATCAAAATAGGTTCAAAAATTGCGTATTTTTTATTACATATTTCAAATCTACATATATTTTAGAATTAAAATATACAAAAATTTTTTGTAAGAGTTTTTTTTTCAATATAGAATTAGATCATAGAAAAAGGTTGTCAGAGTACTGAAATTGAAGAATGATATGAAAGGAAAATTTTGAAAATTAATATTGCTTAAATTATGATTTATTTTATAAAATACAAAGGTAAAACATATACACTAATGAAAATATTTGCATATCAATTTTGCACTACTGTTGAACATTTTCAATAGAAACTGAATTTTCAGATTTATCAATATCTTCAGAGGAATCTGAGAAATTCTCATCAGTTTCGCTATAACTATCTTTAATATACTTGAAATCAGAGTCAGAACTACTATCAGTGTCGGAAATATCATCAGGAATATAGGTTATTTCACTCGCGAAACGCTTCCTGCCAGACATCTCCGAGTTCTGAAAAAGTGCGCGCAAAATGCTATGTTATGTATTCTTGTATATTTGGCAGAAATGTGGACAACTAACGGCATCTGTTAGTCCACATCTAAGTAAACAATTAAACATCACAGAAAAGCCGAAAGGAAACCTTGAACGAGGAAAGAACGGGTTGCACAGTTAAATAGACGGCAAAAATTCATCCTCGTGGAAATCGCAGGTTGCGCAAATTTTGCTACTTTTACGTTGCCCGTGGAATTCGTGGGATGTACAGCGAGAGGGTTAATGCTGTAAATATCTTTCAACTATAACTTAACATCGTAACCCAATGTTGATAAAGTTTCCTCCTACATAGCTAGCCACATTTCAATTAGATCCACAAGCCTATCCCTATGTTCTTGTCTGCATATAATGACCTCCATAAACCATGGATAGAGTACAGAATTGTAAAAACAATTGTATGCCAGGAGTGAATTTACTTTTTTTAAAGAGAATTTCATTATTTTGATCAATTCCAGACAAAGACATATTAAAAGCTGAAGCATTAATTCAATTATTGCCTGGAAGTCAAGGATTTTTAATATATTTCTGAAGGAGAAAATTTTGATACACCAATGCAAGCATAAATGAATATTTAAATTCAGAATAGCTTAGACTGTACGCACAAGTAAAACTAAACAGAGTTTCACAATGATAAGACAATCTTTTGTTCAAATGTCATAATTATATATCAGTATATTCCCAAGCTGTCCAGATAATAATATATTGGTTAGGAGACTACTGCAATAACGAAGGGCCGAGGTTCGAATCCCAAAGGCATGGATGTTCGTAAACGTATAGTGTCTTTGCAGCATGGAGCCATTCTAAATATATGGTGAGTCCTCTTGTATGGTTTGCTTGTGAGGGAGAGGGGTGGGAGTAGAAGTCCAACCTTTTAGAGGCTCATACCTTTCTTCCACGAGATATAAGGACAAGAAAATAGAAACTATATTACCAAATTAAATGACTCAGTAAAATTTAAAATATGGATCATAATCCTAATTGTACACCTGTTTCGTGCGATTGTTTTATTTGATAAAAATATAACACATTTTATTTAGTTTTGTGACGTAAGGAAATCTTCAGAAAAAAAGAAATCATTTCACATTAAAGATAATCAGTCATGACAGTAATGATAAAATATACTGTCTAAAAGTTACATTAAACAGTTGCTATGCCTTTCATTCATAACAAGCAAACAGAGTTATAATACGAATAGCCTGTTAACACTTCGGTGGTTGCACTTAAGCAATTCTTTTTTCCCAAATATGCACAAACTCATAAATTTGTAATGCAAGCTGAGCTCATTGAAGACCATCGAAAGGTTGAGATCATCTTTAGTTTATCTCTACTAAATAATTTTTATCAATAAATTATTGATAAAAATTTACCTTTTGATTAACCTTTGAGAAAATGCCTATGACACCTTGTTTTACTTAATTCTATTTATTCACTAAGAGCATCAGTTTCATGAAGATAAAATTAAAAGCTTTGGAAAAAATTAAAAATTTTGTTTTTCAGGCTTATCAGTTATCCAGTTCATGAAAGTAGCCATTTTTTGGGCTATACATACTATACCTATAAAGACTAAATTTTCAGATTTTATAATTAAAGGTATTTCTACATTTGATTTAAAAACTAAAGTGGCACTTGATATTAAATATACTTAAATTTCACTAACTAAAATGACTAGGGGTCATTGATTTTCAAACATATTCAAGGGATTAATAGATGATTTAAACTATTTAATTCACTTATTAAACTCTAAAACAACTTTTTGAAAAAGAGAACTTGCATTAAAATTTGAAAATAAAGTGAAGAAGCTTATAGCCATAAAATTTTGTAATGCAGAAAACTTTCTTAATAAAAATGAAAATACTTCAGAAAATACGAAAGTTTAATAAACTGCAGAATAGCTCAAACACTATTATTTGATTAGACAATATATCAAAAATAAAAAGAATTATAATTATTATTCATCTGCATGTTGCAGTAATAATTACTATAATTAATAATGTTACACAGCAAATTCTCTTCTTTTCATCTTTGTGCATATAAAACAAACTTATCGTATGGATTATTTAAAGCTCCTTAAGAATAAAAAATGGCAAATGAACTTTGGCTATTATTATCAATTTTGGCTATTATTATATCAACTTTGGCTATTATTATCAATGAAAATACTTCAGAAAATACGAAAGTTTAATAAACTGCAGAATAGCTCAAACACTATTATTTGATTAGACAATATATCAAAAATAAAAAGAATTATAATTATTATTCATCTGCATGTTGCAGTAATAATTACTATAATTAATAATGTTACACAGCAAATTCTCTTCTTTTCATCTTTGTGCATATAAAACAAACTTATCGTATGGATTATTTAAAGCTCCTTAAGAATAAAAAATGGCAAATGAACTTTGGCTATTATTATCAATTTGCACATTTCTTTTAGTTGTATCACATTATAATATCAATAGCTAAAATAATTGCACACTTACATGCACAAAGGTGATACTTTGCAATCTTTCTTAAGTATTTTGGACTGATGGACTATTTCACTGCAAAGCTTCAATAAAATTATTTCAAAAGAAGGGGTATATTAAATGTCTTTTAATTACAACTAATTAGTCAAAATTCAATGATTAAGTCATATGGCTAAATGAAATCACACTTGTTTCAGAAAAATTATCAGTAAATAACATATTAAAATAGTAATAAAGTGCAATTAATGCAATGCACTAAATAAAGCAAAGCACACAAAGGCCTTAGGAGATATGCTGTTGTGGATGACTTTCAGTTCACATTTACAGTGGACTGGGAAATGCTATGAAAACTCCATATAGCTAGTCTAGCTACTAAGAGATGAACTCAAGAAAAACTACAGTGGCCCTTATCAACAGGGTATTGATAGGCTGCATATTATATAAAGATTAAAATGAATGTTATAAGATGATTGACAAACCAAAAGAAATAACGAACCTGAAGAAAATTATATTGCAGGGGGGGGATACAACAAAATTACAGATATAATAGCCTAAAAATAACTTAATTCAGATTCAAATTAAAACTAAAATCAAAATATTAGAACTATTTAAAAATACTAAAAGTTAAGATCACGATCACATGCTCTAGCTTAAAAGAAGGATATCATTATATGAGCCAGTGTTTTAATACCCTTTGCTTAGAATTCAAGCAAAAAGAAAGTTGACAATACCTATAAGTAATCTATGAGATATCCCAAGCTTTTAACATGGTTAATATATACTTTTATTTGATTTCATATTATTTACAAGTTATTAGTTTTAATAGTTTCTCTTGAATATTTTTTTCTACAATTTATCAACACAAACTAAGGAAATTTTATTATGTAAGATCTGAACATATTTCAAATGGTTGAAATGGATAGACCCAAAAATTAATAGCAGAACCAGACACAAAAGCATAACATATTTTCACCCACAAGAGCTTTTGCTTAATAGTAATTCTTTATTTAGCTTCAAATTTACAGACCATTTTATCCTGCATACATAATAATTGCCCAACTCCGCCCAATTTGCTCACTTTTAACACTTCATTGGCCAACTATCAGCACAAATTGCAAAATGCATAACATTGTGGTATTGTTTTAAAGAGTTTACACACTCATTGAGGTCATTCAGAATGCTTAGATATTCAGGTGACTTTATTTTATTGCCACTTAGTATTATTGAGTCTCATCTAGCCTCAAAAATATAGCTTTGGATTGTAACATTTTCTTTTAAGATTAGTGCAGCAGAAACAATATGCAAGAAGCCCAACCTTCATTCTTCTGACCCTGATCTTTTTACCATGATTGGAAGAACATAAATCATGGAATATAACATTATCTTCTTTCACTGTTCTCAAGTTTAATCCTTGTTTCCTTGCAGTAGTTTTATTTTCTATCATGTCTCAATTATAAGCAACTTTTTCTGTAATACAATTGTTTAAGACAATCCTATTTTCTTCTTGTCTCACTTGCTGAACACTGCAGTAAATTCTAAGATCCCTTCTCCCCCAATTTGATTTCATTTATCATATTAGAGATCTTTGATCAAAGTCACTTAAAAGTGATTTCTGACTACATGGTTATTACGCGTCTTCATTTTCAAAGTTTAAATTAATGTTCGAGAGAAATTTTCAAAATGAATGTAAATATTTGAGAACTAGAAATTTCAATTTGTATTTTTTATAATGTCTTGCTCTTAAGCAATGGAAGAATTTACTGCAAGAGACACAGGATGGAAGAAGAAAATAATAATTTTTACTTTGAAGACTTAAATATCAGGGTTAAGTCATTTAAGGAAATCTTGTGTTTTTAAGTTGATGAAATTTGAATATTTCTCATGTAAAGATGCTGATTCATGCATTGTAAATATGAAAGGAAAGGATATTTGTGACATTTTAACTAGCCCACCAATCAAAAGAAATTCACAGCTACATTTAAAAAAGAAGGAGTTGATCTATCTCTACATATAATAATAAAAAAAAAAGAGTCAGTCTGTGTGTGTGTCTTTCGTTCATGCTGCACATAAGCTAATAAATCCAAGGCTATGAAATTTGGTACATAGGTGCATCTAAGCAAGAGCAGGTGTACCTTGAAGCGATTTTTTCAAAATTCGAAGTAGATTTTTAAACAAAAATCTTTTTTTGATGAAATCACATCATTTTTAATAGCTTCATTCTTTTAGAAATGTAGTTTTGGCAACAGTTTTTCATTTAATGCTTTGTATACTGGACTGCTGACTGTTGAAAACATGAGGTAAAATATTATTAATTATACACCGAACACGCACGACGCAATCTTCATATTCTGACGCGCATGTGTCTCATGAGGCACAACAAAAAGAATTTCCTTTCCCCCCTTCTCTCTCTTTATTAGCTAATGGCAGAGAGTTTGAATATTTTGAATTACGCCATTTACAAAAAAAAAAAAAAAAAAAAAAAAAAAAAAAAAAAAAAAAAATTGATTGGTTATTGTTTTCTGATGTGGCTTTGGGAACAGTTTTTCATTTATTGCTTTGGATACTGGACTGCTGACTGTTTTCTCTTGAAAATATGATATTTATTTCTTATTTCATTGTAATTTTTTATATTATGTTTTAATTATATATAATTTTAATATAAAAAGTTTTGCATGATTTTTTTAGGAAGGAAAGTTTTTAACTTCTTTTATACCATTTGAATCCTTAAGATTTTGCAAAGGGAAGTTGAAAGTTGATTATTTTATTTATTAGGATAATTAATATTTGTATTAAGGGATATTGCTTATTTCATTGTAATTTTTTTATATATAATCCATTTTTAATGAAATTTCTTTTTTTCTTTAAATAAAGTTGTTCTGCAGAGTAAAATTCTGTGCAGTTTTTAAATTTAATGTTTGGCATTCTTTTAGGCATTTTTCTGGTACATTTAAAAGCCACATGAAGGTTGGTCTTGTAGTGGCTAGTCATTTCATAAAAAATATGTTAGTATTTCAAATCTTCATATCGGTCATTAATATCTCCTGAACATTATATTCTCCCTTCCTGTTCATAACATTAATGGGAAAAGACTAATCTCTTTCATTCAAATCAGTTGCCTTATAAACAGAATCATCTTCCTCAAAAATCAGAATTTGCTAGACAGTAGCAAAATTTTTATCATTTCAGTTGTATAACATTCCATTCATATTTGTTAAAACATCACAACTGTTTAACCTTTTCCAGGGATCTGGGACATATATATCCCGCACTTTCACTATTTTAAATGTGTCTCAAGAAATTTTAGTAAACTATGGAGATTTAAAATTTACTCCTTAATACGGATTAGAAAGTGCAAGACCCTGTCGATTTGTTTTATTATTCCTTGCAAATTTTCAGAATGCTTACAACTATCATTCTTTTATTATATATAGAGATATATTATTAATTTACTTTTTATAGTTTCTTGTAAGTTGTCATTATTATTATTTCTTCAAAAATATATGCAAGTGATTTCTGACTTCAGTGCATCCGTTTAAATGCACTTACGTAAAATTCTAAAATAAATAATTTTGTAGTGCACACATCATTTTAAATATGCAGTTGAATGTTCAGTGGAGAACTTTAAAAGAACTCTGGACGGCTATTATACAATTGATTTAATAAATAACTGAATATCATTGTATAGGTCCATACTTTTTTAAGGAAACATTAAAGGAAATATTACACACAATTTCAATTTAGTACTGAAATCCCAACAATATGTTTTAAATTTCTAATGCACAGAAAAACATATTTTAAATAATTAAAAACAAAAGTATAATACTTAAAAAAACTATAAATAATATTTATCATAACATTATATAGTCACGCTCAGTAACTCAGATTTGGATATCTTTTTAAAATAAAATTATTCATGTATTTTTTGTACAGCTATCAATAAATATGTTATTACATAATACAACAGAAATGGCACTGACAATTACAGCTCTGATTTTTAATCAATGTAGTATAATGCATAGTTAAGTATGAATGCAAAACAGAAATAAATTCTATTGAAAAACGCCAATTTGAATTTAATGTCTCCATACTTAGTGGAAAATATACACTAACAGAATGTAGACATTAGAAAATTCCAATCATTCAGCTCCTTATTGTCCTATAGATGAGAACTATAAAATAAATTTTCTTAACAATGATCTCTTATTTAATGTTTATATTAAAGTGCAGCAGCTCCTGAAATGATTTCAATCAACTCCTTAGTGATAACAGCTTGTCTTGTACGGTTAAATGTCATTGTCAACTTGTCAATCATCTCTCCTGTAATAAGACAAATAGATATTCACATCAATTATTTATAAGAAAGACATCAAAGTAACTAGAAAGATGGAACACAGAATTAATTTTAATAACATCCGAAATTACTTAATAATAATAAAAGTTAACATAGTAATACAGATAAATATTTATTTGTGATAGGAAAGAGTTGACAAATATGACAAAAATTTTCTTGTGCAACATTAGAAACCACAAAATGGGAAGGCAATATATAAGTAAAAGGGCCAAACTGCAGCACACTTTTTTTCCTTTAAATAAAACTTTTATACATATATTTACTCTTCTTAGAATGGTTAGAAAGAATGTCAAAAATAGGAAAAGAAAACATTATACAATGTAACGGAATAGAAGAATTTTTACTGTTCTGTTATCGGGAGCAGATTTAGAAATTTATATATATATGTGCATAAATGCGTGTGGATACACACATATATACATGCCTACATAATACATTTCTGAATCGGGTCCCATAACAGAAGAGTATATAAGAAATCCACCATAAAATCTAAAACAGCCAGAATCCTCCATGAATGAAAGTATTTGAATAATTCTGTTGATTAACAGTGTAGTATAAGCAAGACAACATAATTTTTATATTTGAAGGAACTCTAATAATTCTGCTCTACAACTCCCAGCAACATTAGAACTGACTGTGAACAATGCATAAATATTGTTACAGAATGTCCAGGTGTGGTAAGATAGCTTCCCCGCAAAACAGGTTTAGCGTTGCCATAATAATGGCAAAGGAAGGCAGGATAGCCATATTTGGCGAAAACTTGCCCAATTGGCGACATGCCATAGACAGATGGCGAACCTTCTGGAATGAATTCTTACTGGTTTAGCCCAGAATGTTCTCAAACACAAGCCAAAAGCTATATAAACCCTGCTGGTGCGTGGAAAGTCAGTCAGTTAGTGAGAGTCCATCGAGTTGATAGTCAGTCAGTGAGTGAACTGAAAGAGTCTCTTAGTGTATCGTCCTCTTAGAGTGTGCTGAGACCTGGGAACGACTGACCCAAGGAGTCGTGAGCTGCACTCTAGTGTATCGTCGAGTGCATTGCGAGTTGTAGCGTTGAGAGTTTCGAGAATGACTGAGCTGAGTCGGGAGCTGTACTCTGGTGCTTTGCTGTGAAGCTGTCTCTACCGTTGTAGCCTGGAGGCTGAGTCACTGATTGTTTCAGAGTGATTACAGTAGTTCTTTGATGACTATAAACATGTTATTGGAGCTGTCCTGAGAATACTGGCCAATAAAGTGTGTTTTTGATACTTCATTGAGTACTGTTGTCGTTATTCACTCCAAATCCGCACGAACCCCGTATGAACGTAAAGGAAGAAAAATAACGTAACAATATAATTGTACATAAATGAAGCATTATTCTCAACACAAATATTATTTTGAGACTATTTCAATGGATATCCCAACTAAGCAAATATCAAATAATGTCTCCTTTGGAAATTTGTCAGGTCTTTCACTTTGCCTTATCTTTGATTTCTAACAAAGGCGGCTCGTAATAAGCACTGTGGAACAGCAGCACCCCCTATTTCCACTTATTATTATTTTTAATATTTAATATAGTGTGCCCTTTAGTCTTTAATTCTTTCTTTATACTTTTTACAATACATAATCCTTATTGTCAGTAGCCATCCCCCACTTTGTGAAAGTCTTTATTTGGAACTGCACGCTTCACAGTTCCAGCGACGTGGTGTTTGGCTGTTCTGCGCATGCGCACACAGAAAGCAGCATGCGAGCCGGGTAGAGAGTGGAGCACTGTCGCTCTTGCAGTGCCGGAAATTATGGCATGTTGTTGAAAAACATGACTTCTTTTTACTCCGTGCGTGTGGTATTCCTCCACAAGGTGGAACTTCATCATACGGATCATAAACAGAGTTCATGAAAATTTTCAACTTTTAAAAAATTGCTTTACTGAAATTCAGTCAACATCAAATGCAGATCAAACTATTGCAAAAGCAACAGGAATTTTAAATATCTAAATGATGATAATTTCAAGTTTTGGTAAGTTTTTTTATCAAGATACCTCATGATGAAATAATATATACGACTAAATGCAATCCAGAGAAATTAGTGTGTTTAAAGTTAATGAATATATAACAAATTTCAAAACTGCTATTTTAGAATTAAGAAACTCAAACTACTGTGATAAATTTTCAAAGACACTGATGGCAGAAGCTAAGGAAATATGTGACTTTATACTATGTATTGATATAATGCACAGATATTCTTCCACTAAACACTTAGCAGCTGCTAAATTGTTTAACAATAAATGCTTAATTTTAGGAATGAACATTCTACAGAAGAAATAGTACTGGCCACTGAAGCATATCCAATGATTGACAAAGAAAAGCTTGAACCTGAACTAAAAGTATTATATTGTAGGTCTGATATCTATGAATACTAAATTAATTGAGCTACTGAAATTTATCTTCGAAAATAATCTAGAGGATGTTCTTAGTGAAATTACGAAACTGATAAAAATTCTCTTGAGAGTTCCCATGACTACATCAGAAGCAGAAAGCTGCTTTTCAACATTTAAAAGAATGAAAACTTTTCTAAGAAACACTAGGAACTCAGAAAAACTAAATGTGCTTGCATTGCTTTCGATAAAGAAAAATTTCCTTAGTTGTCATCCAGAGATCAAGAAGAAAATTATTAATCTTTTTGCACAAATTAAAAGAAGAATGGATTTCATTTTTAAATGAACAGACAAAGAATAGACAACTGTAGCAATTTTGGTTAAAGTAATTAAGAAATGTTTAATTTTTTCCTTGTAATATTTCATGAAGTTTCAAAATAAATTTTCTTTTTATACATGCTTGTTTACTTTTACACAATTTTAAAACAAAGGTTACATTTTTTTTTTTTTTGGAACAGTACCCCCACTAATTTTAGCCACGAACCGCCACTGATTTCTAAAATCAACATTCAAAATTTTATATAAATGCATTTAATAATTTATGCCATATAGGCTTTGAGAATTAATTATAACAAATACAAAGCAATTACAAAATAAATAAATAAATAAAAAGTGGACATTCATGGCATCCATAAGTAAGATCTAAGTTAACTCATAAAAACGTATTCTGCTGATAATTATGTGTTCAGAACTATACATACTACATTTTTTTTATTTATTTCTCTTACAAAATCATTAGGTTTGTTATTTTCACATTCTAAGGATGTAACTACATTTCTTCTTATTTCTCTCACATGAAAAATCATATTTTGTGTTTGTTATTTACACAGTTAACACATTCTAAGGCTGTCCACAATGTCATCCTGTTAATTAAATTGCAAGGTACTTAATGAGGTTTGCATATTATCTTATTAACCATTCATTAAGGTTTGAATCTAGCTAAGGCAACGATCAAAACAGAAACTTAAATTCAATGTCTGCAGAACCACTTGTGCATAATGAAGGGCTGTGGCACCTGGATAAGTGAAAATACACATTCATAAAAGGCTACACTTCTGCAGTGCATATGTTGCTGCTGGTGACACAAATTTCTCTTGTATTAATTGTTCTAGCTTATTTCAATAAAACATACCACACCCCAAGAAAACATTCAAAACATTTTGCTCATGAGTAGTTTCATGTACTGTCCTCCACAAATAAACAAAATAAGTCCATCCTCAATAAATGAAGTTATTTCCATTTCAGAGTCACGTTGATAGATTGAGATAAGAATATTTTATTATCAATTACATCTTTTAATATCACGAACTGTGACTATCTGACAATTTCCTATTTGATAGCAATGCAAAAATTTGAAGCACATTCAACACATATTCATTTATATCCCTTTTAGTTACTAAGATACTGGATTGTATACATTTAAGAATATTTGGAAAAAACTGATAACAAAATGTGCAATAAATGATTCTTTTAAGTTATCATGAATTTTCTATGTGGATTCACTAACACAATTACACTTACTGCACAGAAAAATAAAAAGGATTCTGCTTAGCAATTCAGTTTGTCAAAAGCAGTAACACCCTGCTCACAGAAACCATATTCTACAAAATGTGCTGATAATTTTCTCATAAAATTATTTGTACATAATTACAAACACATTTGGAAATAAAGACCAAATTTCTACACTTTTCATGTTTGCATCAATTTAGGACAATAATAGGTACTTTTTCCGTTTTGCTGGCACAAACGATAAAAGTCGCTAAGAACAGTACAACTGATGCCAAACAGAATATCTTCGCTGGTAACCTTTTACGCCTCATTTTCAAAACAAGTCACAGCCATTTCTTATCAGATCGATTGTCTTTCAATACTGGCATACAATTACATAGAATTTTTACAAGATAGCTAAATTCTATGCCCCAAGATGATTCGTGGTAATTAAGTCAATTAGAATGCAATCAAACCACTCACCCAAAGGCAAAAATATAGAAAAGGCAAAATCAAGGGTTAAAGTCATCAATTCTAATGAGAATACACTAGCGATGTACTACATCGTATGTGTTATCAATTTTGTGCCCTAAGGCCATTCGCGGTAATTAAGTCATTTAGGATGCAATCACACTGCACTCCCGAAGGTGGAAATATAGAAAAGGCAAAAGTCAAGGGTTAAATCCATCTATTCTAATGGGAATGCACTTGCCAAGTAAAGCACTGTGGTTTTACATAATAAGTAAGCTATTTGTACGAATTGAAATAATTCTTGCATTTAAACTTGTATTCCAAATTAAGATTTAACTTGAAATTAATGTAGATAATTAATTACTGAGAGAATTAGATTTTTGTAGCATAGTTAAGTGCAATGAGATCACTTGGGGACACGTGATCTCATCTCACGTAATCAGGATGTTGAGCCATGAAAGCATAGTAAATTCTTAAATTAATGTCTTTTTACAAATTTATTGTCTTTTTTCAAAATTTTGAACCATATTAAAATGTTTATACCTTCAAAATAAAAAATTCTTAGACCTAACATTTGTTAGCATTTTTTATGTGTATACTGTTGCCAACAAAGTCTACTTGGCGAGGTTTGCGCCGGCGAAACGGAAAAGTACCCTTTTTTTTGCCAATTTCTAAAATCTCATTATAAAATCAAAAGTATAGTTAAAGATTTATCATACTAGCAATTTTATAGAATAAAGCACATACCTGCATTCTTGCTTGCACTGTCCATAGCAGTCATTCTGGAACTTTGCTCACTACACGCATTTTCTTTCATGGCATAAAATATCATACTAGCTAAAGAATATTCTTGGTAACATTTAATTACGTCTGCATCCAGACTATCATATATGCTGATTTTTTCAGCACTGCTGATAGCTTCTGCACTGAAAACTGGAATTTCTGTAGTACTGTAAGAGACAACCGACCTACCAAAATAAAACAAAATATGCTATTCTGCATTTTTTTACATCTATCTTTAGTAAAATTTGGGAAAAAGAGAAAATTTAATTGGAAGAGAAACAATGTAAAATTTCACATGACAATAAAAAGTAAACTTATTGGTGCATTATTTTAAATAAAATGCTATTTAATGACAATCAAATATAGGTCCCTGTTTTTTGAGATAATCTTCAAATCGAAAGATTTTATATTTGAAATCAGTGCCAAGTTGCTTTTTCACTTAACTTTAAAGAGAAAAAAAAAAAAAAAAAAAAAATAATTTTTTAAAAATGAAATGTTATGTATTAGTGAGAAAAATATAAACTACAATAAAATCTCTAGTAACCAACACCCAATCAACCAGTAATATCAAAATAACCGTATATGGCAGAAGTCCTCATTGCAGTGAGTGGCAGCATTCATCTTTGCTGCTCAATATGCATATGTGCACACTACAGCACCAATATAAAAACCTGGAAGTTTTTTGCTGAGACTTACTACACAATTTCCACCCCCTTTTTTTTTTACCTGTTTGTTTCCGATGTCTGATGTTGGCTTGTGTGTGTTAATTTAGCCTGAATAAACACACCTACCAAATTTTGTTCAGCTAGCATAACTCATTTTTGGTGTTTGAATTTTTGTTTCCCCATCCAGTATATACTGTCATGTTTTTTTTTTATTATCAAAAACAAACTTTTATTTATTAATGCTGCTATCTGCACAATGCAAAGATCTTTAAGCTGCATTAACACTCTCCCACATTCTCATGACAAATTTCAAAGAAAGGAAATTAGATTTACACTCTTGTGATTTCTCAATTTTAACAATATTCTGTTCAACAAACATGCCAAATAAGTGAGGGATATCAGGAAATTGAATACATGATCAACAAAGTAAAATTCTTCACCACTTAAGGACTTTGCAAATTATAACTAATTTATTATATTTTCACTTTCAGCCACCATATGGTACTACTAAAATATTTTGAAGAACACTCTTGGATTTTTAAAAGGATTTGCTGTCTCAACTGACACTGTTATCACTTCATTCCCAAAGCATTCATGCGAACATCATGGAATAATATTTTACTCACTAACTACATGAATATTTAATAGCTAATTATTTCTTTAACTGATAAAAGAACAGCCAATAATTACTCATCTTGAAAACTTTTTTCAGGAGACATAAAAGATATTCAATAGAAAGCAAAGTGGCTAACCATTTGTTTCAAGTGATAATAAATGGATAGTACGTAGATCAAAATCACGTTTTCTTCAGGCAAATTGCTTGAAAACTTCTTATTCAAAAAGCTGTTGAGAAACTCAAACTACATTAATATGTTATACCACTGCAAAATAAAAATCATGTAATCTGCAGAAACAGCAGCTTCATGTTTGATTTAGTGGACCGAGTTTGAGTTACTGAACTTCATAATGCTTGACCCTATGTCATGATAATTCAAGCTGCTTATCATCCAAATGTTTGCATTTATTCCACAAAATCTTAATAACTCAGAAAAATTTATAATAGTATAAAAGTTGGTATAATAATGCATTGTACTTAAATGTCAAATGATTGGTTCAAAGTTAAATACACATATAACCAGTTTCCTAAATGGAAAAAAATCAGTAGACACTAACAAGACCAACTCACTTGAATTTATTAAATACAATAAGACCCCTTTCAAACTGGAAACCACAATTGATGATGTAATCAGCAATAGTAGTTGCATCCTCAAATACTGGGGGTTTCTTACCATAATCAGAGAAAACAGCAATGATATTTTGTGGAAAGTGCCTATAAAATAAATTACAAATCAAGTTACAAGTTACACAAAGTGCATTAACATAATAAAAAAAATGAAACATATATAAAAAATAATCTAAAAAATTATTCACAATGTAGTACCTTTGAAGCATGGCCCGAGATTTGTCACCAATACATAAAACCTTCATATCAGAATTATCAGCCACTGAAGCAAGCATTCCTCTGATTTTTTTAGAGACATTTGAGTGAACAGCTCCACAAAGGCCTCTATCAGAAGTTAAAGCAACTATCAATGTACCAGGTTTTTTATCATCTCCCTTGACTTCAGCCTTTTCATAAAAAGCTGAAATAAAATTAAAATTATATTTCAATGAATTCCTATACTGAAAAAGTAAATTCATTGCAAAGCTCAGATGGAAAAATATGCATAACTAGCATCTTCAAAGCAATATGAATTACAAATTTCAAGACTATATATAAATTAATTAAAAAATACTTTCAACTTTAAAAACACACAATTTTTTAAAATTTACTTATATTAAATTTTCTATTTATCTACAGGTTTAAACACAAAGTGTTTTAATGGCAAAGTATAGAGAAGCATAAGTAAAATCTTGCAGCAATGAGACAAGCAAGAATAATGGCACGCACATAACACATCGTTCAATAAGTTCCGAGACTAACTAAGAAAACAACATTCATTTCACAAAATTCACGTTTATTCATCAACATAATCACCATCAAGAGCTATGCAATCATTCCAATGCTTTTCTAACTTTTCTATACCATGCTTGTAAAACAATTTGTCTTTGTCCGCAAAATATGCTTCAGTGGCAGCGATGACTCCTCATTCGAGCCAAATCTTTTTCCCTGGAGCATCTTTTTCAGATCAGCAAACAGCCAGTAGTCGCTAGGGGCTAGATCTGGGGAGTATGGTAGGTGGGGAAGCAGAGTGAAGCCCAACTTGTTCAATGTAACCAGTGTTTGCATTGACTTGTGGCACGGGGCGTTGTCTTGATGGAAGATGACTTTTTTCTTCATGTGCGGGCGTTTTTTTGCGATTTCTTTCTTCAGATGCACCAGTAACTCACTGTAATAGGTGCTATTGGTAGATTTTCCCTTTTCAAGGTATTTGATGCAAATTATACCTTGTGCATAAAAAAACACTGATGCCATGACTTTGCCAGCTGACTGTTGCGTTTTTTGGATGCTTCGGACGGATTTCACCGGCTGCACGCCACTCAGCTGACTGCCACTTCGACTCTGGTGTGAAATAATGGTTCCATGTTTCATCCATTGTCACATACTGATGCAAGAAATCCTGTTTATTGCAAGTAAACAAGTAAACAATGACAAACGGCTCTGTGAATCGTCAACTCGTTGCTACTTTTGTTTCATTGTGAGCACACATGGCACCCATTTGGAAAACACTTTTTTCATGCCCAACTTTTCATGTAAAATCATATTTGTATCCGTGCGACGGTGCTTGAAATCAGCATACCAATGACAAATGGTTGTTTTCGATGGAGCAGAGTCTGGATAACATTTTTCAAGCCATTGCTGAGCTTGGATTGTATTTTTTCCCATTAAATAGCAATGTTTGATCAATACTCGAAATTTGTTTTTCTCCATTTCATCCCCATGCACAAGTAGTGTCACTTTCACCACAGTAGCTTCGATGGTTCCGGTCCGAATGCCATGAAAATCAGACATGTGTTATTTGAAGGTTAGTTATTTCAAGCAACGAAATCAGGTTGATATTACTACACCATCTGTCGGTTAGTCCCGGGACTTATTGAACATTGTGTTAACTGCTTAAAACTGATGAGAGTAGGACAGGATAATAATAGTAGGGGGAGTAAAAAAAAAAAAAAAAATTTGTATAGAATTAAAAAATAAATATCCTTTCTGCTCTAGCTACAAAAGACACAGCAGCTTGATTATTGTTAATTGGGATCAATATTTAATTTTTGAAAAATTGATACTATTTAAAAACAGATACTGAACCCTATTTAAAAACTAATTCAGTCACCTGGAGTACTAAAATGAGAAGATACCTTGAAGAAAATAGCAGCTTATTTATTTTCACTTGGCTAAGATTGGAGAAGAGTGGGAGGGCAGTAGTATAGGAAACTGTACATTCTGAATCTGTAGGGCAAAATTCTCTATATCACCCTCTTAAAGTTTCCCATGATGTTTTTTAGATATAAATTACAAACATCTATTAATTTTCCAGATAGAAATTATTCAAATCAAAGTTATCTAAATTTTCTTATTTATACTGAAGTGGCTGAGTACATATATTTTGTAATCAAATACAGATTTTAAAGCAACATATTTAACAATATACCACATAGGGAAAAATCATGGCAAAAACATTAGAAGCTGAAAATATCATAAATCAAAAGAGTATTAGCTACACCTATGAACACAGGTTGCCTATTTTAATGTGCTCAAAAGAAACAATTTTTTAACATTTAGTGAGACAAAATCATTTAGTTGAAAGCCAATTTTGTAATATAATATTGAATACTTCATTTAATTCATTGAATAAAGGGTACTGTTCTGTTATTGGGACCGGATTCAGTAGAACGTATGTATGTATGTAAGTGCATATATTTGTATATGTATACACACATATACATTTGTACTTACATATTTACATGCATACATGAACACATACACGCATACATCCATATATTTCTGAACCCGTTCCCTCGATAACAGAACAGTACTAAATAAAGCACTCAAATTGGAGAGGAGCATCTGGTAATTATAATTAACGTACACAGTTGGAAGAGTTTTGTGTCTAAAGAATGTATAGAACACATTAAAAAATGTGTAGAATGTGCTAAAAAATGTATAGAATACATTAAAAAATGTGTTGAATATGCTAAAGAATGTATGGAATATCTGTGACAACTCTGTGTCTAAAGAATGTAAAGAGAATATGGATTTTAGAGCTGCTGTTACTTTTTTTTTATCAGGATTCATGTTACTTTCATGCTTCAGCTATTAATTTAGATTCACAGCATGGCATATGCATGTTTATCATGTTTTGAGCAACAAAACTGTTGATGTACTACATACAAAACTGTTGATGTACTACATACAAAACATATTTACCCATCAGTTAAAAATAAAAAGATAAATTAATTCTAATTTATATAGCAAAAAATGAAATGTAAATAAAAGAAAATCTTTTCAAGTCACTTACATTGTGCACCTTCACCAAAAGGACGAGCTTGCTTTAGTTCTCTTTCTGCACGAGCATATTTTGCGGCAGACACCATCTTCATACTTTGGGTGATCTTCTGAATATTCTTTACTGATTTGAGCCTCATACGAACTAGAAATTAAGCAGATAATTAACAAACAAACAACAAAAAACAAAAAAAAAAAAAAAAAAAGCTTTCATTTGATCAACAATCAAAGTCTGATGCCAACTCAGGTGGCATCCAGAGCATTGCTCCCTTATTATCATGTGGGCAATAGAAACTATATTTTAGACCCATGTTGTATTGAAAGCAAATGGGCATACTAATGAAAAAAACTTAATAAATAATAAAAAATTACATATATTTCTATTTCAAAAGAAACTTAAAAACCATTTTTATGAACACTGAACTATACAGTTACATGAGTTACACGGAATTAACAGCCGGGAAGTACAGAATAATAATATACAAATAGTTCATGTGTAAAAAGTGAAAAATAAAGAATTACAGAAATAATATTAGTCAATTAAAATGACATCATATCTATACACATGTACAGTTTATAAATACGTTTTCCAGCCATTTCCACAGATTTTGAACAATATTTGGCTGTTACATTTTTCTATAAAACTTTAAGCACATACACTGGGATGAAAACTATTCTAGCAGAAAAGAATTTTGAACAGGCAAGTACTTACATTATCCAGTGACTCTATAAAGATAGCCTTATTCACTAATTATTTAGTAATTAAGATACTATCCAGTCATTTACTAGACTGTGTAAATGAAAAATGTTTCAGTGCCTATTTCTTATCAGACATTTTCGGTGCTAATTTATTGGTTTATAGATGGATTCTACCCTGCACTCAATATCTTTAAATGCACAGTATAATGTGCCTCGATACATAACATTTTTCAAAAAATTCTGCATACAGTAAAATAAGTACTTGAAATATATGAATTTTTTAATAAAAAAGGCACTCTAAAAATCACAGAAAAATTGCAGGAAAAATATAACATGATAAAATTTGACACTACAGTACAAAGTCCGTAATATGGACTCATCTGGACATCAGCGATTCCGGATTAGGGGTTTTTCCGTATTATAGATCATCAATTTAAATCTGGTAAGATGGCATACAGAAATTATAAATTAAAAATATGAAACCGTAATTTATGAAATAAAGAGCAATTATGACCTAAAGGGTATCAAAATTTACAAAAAAAAAAAAAAAAAAAGCTTAATATTTATTTGTTTACTTTATTAAACATTTCTTTCAATGTAAGTTGTTCAAGTTGCTTCGTTTTTGTGCTAATAATTTCTCTACAAACATTCTATAAACAGGCAAAACCTCTCTGTCACTTTCTTCACTATCGGAAGCAGTATTTTCTGGATCTAGAAACATACTACAGATTTTGCCATCCATTGATTGATGATTGGAGCATTGTCGTCGCAATGAAAAACTTTTGTTATAGCATCTTCATTTATTACCGCTTCTCCACATTTCTTTACAAAATCCAATAATTGGAAAATTTCACCTTTAGTTTGGGATATCCAAAAACCTTCAAATCGCGGTTATCATCTTCATTGTTCTCACCATAAAATATGGTAGCTGGCCATAAATTATGCCAAGCATTTTTTAACGTATCTAGAGACACATCCTCCCAACGCGCATGTGTAAAGCATACAAAAAAAAAGTTTGTGGCTTTGAGGTCCGGGATTATAGATCATTCTGGATAATGGACATCCAGATTATGGACTTTGTACTGCATTGCATTAACCTTAATAAGAATCACCAGGAAAGTGCTATGTGACGAAAATAGACAATCCAGAATTTTAAGAAAATGTATTTATCTGGCAACCTACTAATTGTTGCATGTGCATTATGCAACACTTAATGCTGTTATTTATTCCATTGCAGTGGTATTAATTTGCGTGGTTTTGAAATTTGAGGCAGTATGTTGATATTAATTTTTTTTTTTTTTCCCTTGTCATGAATTGTAATGGCACTGTGTGCGGGCATTTTTCAGAAATAACGTGTATTGCCTGCTAGTAGTAAGCGCAGGAGTGTGCACTGCATGAATTTAACTCTAAAATTTTTTACAGTTAAAACAGGCCGATGTATACATGGAAAGCATGCGGTGTAGTTGAAGTTTATAATGGTGCTCAAAGGAAGGCAAATGTTATAACAACCCTTCTTGCTTTGGCAGAATGCCCCTTTTCTGACAGCACGGAAGGCATCTGATAAGATCTGAATGCTGTAGGCATATTATTTTTGGCACATCAAATTGTTTATAAGAATGTTTTCATCTCAGAGTATAGTTTGAGGATTGCATATATTGTATATAACTGCAGAGAAAGATTCAATTTTTAAATCACTAGATTACTATTCACCACAGAGCAACAATGAAAATTCTGCAATTCTCTGATCAGATCTCAATGCATGTAAACACAAGACTATGCAAATAGAAAGTTGAGTGTTTCATTATACATTTTGTGTTTTTAATTCAGTTAATTTGTCACTGTTTTATGAAATTTTGAATGTTTTAATTATGGATTTTTCTTATATTTTTAATTTTGTCAATTCATTCCTGTTTTATGTAATTTTCAGCATAATGCCTTTTTTTTTTTATTTATTTTTTATTTTTTTATTTTTAATGGCTACTGTTTTTAATGTGTTAAGTGGTGAAAAAGTAGTTGCCAACGAGTGATGGTTTTGCAAATAATTGAAACTACTTTATATAATTGTGAACTTTCATATAATGCGAGAAAAAATTTACATAATTGTGCTAATTTACAGAAAATTAATTATTTTCGATTTAAATACTAAAACAACTTAATTTGACAATTACAGAACGTCTTTTTCATTTTAAATCAAGTCACTGTGCTATTTTTATGATATTTAACTTGAATATTTAGCTGTCATGTGTTTCACAAATGCTTAAGTATTTTGCTCTCAAGTGTTTCACAAATACTTAAATATTTAGCTCTCATGTGTTTCACAAATGCATTTGTGAAACAGTACACATAAAAATTGGAAGTTAACAATAATCCACCAAAATGCATATATGTTAACTACCAATTTCCCTCAAGCAGATAAGTTTATTCTGAAATCTGCATAAATAAGGATTACATAAAAATAGCAACTTTTGATACACTTTTCCCAATATTATTTAAGTATAAATTTTATTCAGTATCAAAAACTAACCTATACACTTAAACGATAAAATTACTACTTACTATCCTTTAAGGTAGCCATTCCACGGAACTGGGTACTGTAATGATAAAAATTTTTTAATTAGATATGGCACAAAACTGGGTAGTCATGAAGTATGCAATCTACCACTTTTAGTCACTTAGTTATTCCTTAGATGGTGCCACTAAAATGCTATTTTTAAATATAAAAATAAATACAAAAAACAAAAAAATATATATATTTAAAAAAAGAAAATCTGAAAGCTTTCAGATTTTAAATTACGTTCAAAGGGGCATGTTTTTAACATTTTGTGTGTTACCTTTGTTTATTAAATATCAAGTTCTTCACGCTTAAATCATAAAATTCACTTCAACAGCAATATCGCAAAATATTTTTAAATTGAGCATATCTTTAGAATTTCCGATACGCAGTCTCATGCGCTGGAGATAAAAATGTTTTTTTTTTGTACAACATTGCCATCGTTCGCTCCAAAATCCTTGAATTTGTTAATTAAAAATTTGTTAAAGTTTTACAAAAATATGAAACTGATAATAAAATAGATTCCAAATTTCAAATTTGGGGTTTCTAATGCCCATATATGCAGTAGAATTACGTCATTTAAAATTGGATGGCTCTAGGTACCATTGTTTTATCACAATGCGAGAAACATACATACATTTATGCAAGATTCTTTATTGCTTAATTTCTTCAAATATTATACAGGGCGATAGTATTTGGTGGAAACAATTTGAAAAGTGATACAGCCTTTTAGAAAGTTTTCAACGCAAAATCGCAAAACAAAAACAATAGTCCTTCAGGGACAAAGCACTTTTAGATTAATAATTAAGACACAAGAACACGCCGAACAAATAGTAATTCAGAAGTCAAAAAACAAAAATCAGCGTTATATTTTCAAAATTTTCACAGAGCTAGTTTCGACGGTTTTACCGAACCACCATACTCAGCTGCAAAACTGCAAATGAACAAGATAGGAAATAATGATTAGATAAGATAAGAAAGCCTGGACAAGAATAAGCAAGTGGCGCCATCTGTTGATGAAACCAGAACTAAAGCATAATTTCTTTAAAGGCTGAAGGCAAAGTTGGATTGGAATTAGGATTGTTAACTAGAACAGAAAGATTTTTTTTGAATGTGAAAATAAGAAAAAAAATTATTTATTTTATAAGCTGATTTATAGGATTCCTTGCCAGTGTGGTTTAATTTTTAATTGTGGCCAAACTAAGAGAGCCTTAAAATTTTGGGTCAAGGAACATGAGGCATATGTTAGAAAAAAGGAAACCACAGAAGTCTTCTTCTGTTGCTCAACATTGTTGGTTCAAAAATCACACTTTCAATTTTTCTGCTGCCAAAATTATTCAAAAAACATCTTCCATTGGAGAACTGGATTTTCTAGAGGCATTTCACATACAAAAAAATCTTTCTGTTCTAGTTAACGATCCTAATTCCAATCCAACTTTGCCTTCGGCCTTTAAAGAAATTATGTTTTAGTTCTGGTTTCATCAAGAGATGGCACTTTTTTATTCTTGTCCAGGCTTTCTTATCTAATCATTATTTCCTATCTTGTTCATTTGCGTTTTTGCAACTGAGGATGGTGGTTCGGTAAAACTATCGAAACTAGTCCTGTGAAAATTTTGAAAATATAACTGAGTTTTGTTGTTTGACTTCTGAATTAATCTACTGAATGTTTAATTTCATTAAGTTCCTTCCAAATTTTATAAAACAAATAGAATGGCCCTTAAAAGAGCCATTTTATGAGTCATTCATCCATATACATCACATATGTCACACAGCATGGTAAAAAAATGGTCAAAACTTTTCTTAGCAAATCTCCACCATGCTTCTACAATGTAACATGAAAGCATTTGTGTGGTACTCTGCATGTTGCATAGAATCTTTAGTTTCAGATTCAGTTGTTTAAATATTAGTACTGTCTACAGGATTGACAAAGCTCTTGTCTTTCATGTTACCTTGTGAATCCTGCAAATTATACTAATGGTACTAAAAGAAAAGATTAAAACAACCAGTTTTAGTATCACCATCTAAAAATAAATAAAAAAAGAGTAGAATGCATACTACATCATTACCCAAAACTGGTTATTTAGAGTAATGTTTCTTAGCCTGTGAAACTCCAAGAGGAACTCTTGAAATGATATTCATGTTTCTAACAATCTCTATATAAAAATTATTATGTAGCTTTTCTCTTACAAATTTTATGTTTAGAAAGAACTGACCCTTTTTGAGACCCATACAAAGGTTTTAAATCACATGAAAAAGTAACTTACATCTGTAAGTACACCTCCCCCCTTAAAAATAAGCCTAATCAACCAATAATTTATAGCATAGACAACTATATAGATCAAAAAGACATAATGACTATAGCAATAAATTATTAAATAATTTATTGATGATTCTGGGGGGGGGGAAGAAAAAGAAAAAAAAGATCTCTCCTAAATCTTGAAATGGATTCATTCACAGGGTGGCTGTTTCTGTCTTAATTTACTTGTAGATTTTGGGTGCATGGGCTCTTACTGACAAAGCAATAGTTGTTAAAGCTTGAAGAAAATGGGGATATCTAATACTCTTGATGAAGTTCACTAAGAAGGTAGACAGGACAGTGACAAAGACAATAACAACTTTCAAGCTGTAGCAGATTACACAAACAGTAGTGCTAGCAATATAAATGATTTGAGATCTAGGGTGTAGCAGTGGGGAACAATAATGAAGATACCTTTAAACCTTTACAAACTTTAATTACCTGTCATATTTGTATTAAGATATGAAGTGGCATCTGTGAAACTCTGTAGAGTTTCTATTTTCTTAATACACTCTGATTACTTAATGTGAATATACACTAAAACTCAAATTACTTGAATTCAGGTTAAACAAAATTTTTGACGGAATGTTTGTCAGAACTTAGAATTTGGAGGTAAGTCAAAGTAAACATCAAACCAAACTATTCAAAAATGATACTAATTTGAAGTTGAATTTTTATTTTTTTATTTTATTTATTTATTTATTTTTAAAAGTGTATCCGTTCAGTTTTGGCTTGCTGAAAATTTGACTGTATTTGGATTGATTCTTGTGTGAAAATCCTAGGCATCCTATTCCTTTCCTTTTTACATATCGTAATGTATCGTATCATAAGTGAAAATCCTAGGCATGTTATACACATATCATAATGCACAGTTGCATGTTAAGTATGTAATAAAATAAATGAAGTTTTCAGAGTTTATCAGTTTTGGTCGTCATGTCCCATTTTTTAGTAAAGATATACGAAATATAAATTATTATATTAAGTCTCTTTCAAAGAATGTTTCAAACAAATGGTTTTTTTTTTCTCATACTATTACAAATAATTAAAATTATACGCTTTTTAATGCCAGTTAATGGCCTTAAAAATTGTCAAAATCGTATGATGTAGCAACTCCATAACCAACATTAAGATCAAATCGTAATCGTGGAAGCGAATAAACAATGGATTCTTTAAACCAGAAAAGTTTGGAAGAATTTTTATTCCTTATCATTTGATGAACATGTTTTAACTATTTATGCTCTGGATTTTACGCTTAATTTGGAGCTAAAATGTCTAGAAAGTAAAAAGTGGCTTCCCACAGAAGAACATGCAGAAGTAGTTTTCTTGTTCAGTTACAAAGTTCCACTGTACAAGTCCTGTAATTGTAATTTTTTGCAGCAATTCCACTTTTTCTTTGATAGACATCGAAATATGCTTTCGCTTTGTAGATCCTTTGGCAGCTCCAGAATTGGAAACTCTTTTTGACAGAATCGAAAGTTCAAGCTTAATTTTTATAAAACTGCTCTAACAGTCTGCAAAAAATAATAAGCTGGATCCAATTAGAAGATTAAGGAACAGCACAATCTGCAACATTAACTGAAATGCCTTAGAATCGGTAAAGATAAATTTAGCCTAGCTTATACCGCCCGTTATACATTAAACACATTACACGCATGCATAAAGCATTAAAAAAAAAATAAAAAAAAAAAAATAAAAATTGTGGCTTTGAAGTCCGGATTACGGACTTTGTACAGTATATTTAATTTTTCTTTTAAATTTAATCTGCCCATTACTGATTAACAAGCTAGGTGATTTAAAAGTAATAAGCACAGCTCTTTATTCCTTTTATTAAATCATCAGCTGGAACTGCAAAATTACACAAGCTACATTTATTGCAAGCATTATATATATTTTTTCTTCTTTAGCCTAACTATTTTAACAGCTAGATGTGACAATGGCTAGTTATTTGAAAAGTGAAACAGCCAACAAAATTGATTCAACACAAAAATGAAGTTCAAGAATAATGGCTCTTCTGGGCTAAAAAATGTATGGCAACACTTAATATTGTATCGGGAATTCTAAACATATGTTGCTTTTAAAACTTTTGTGGTTTTGTTGCAGAATTTTATGTGGTGTAAGTACGAAGAGTAGTTCTTAATAATAAAATTAAAAATTCAAAAACATTTGTGTTAGCAAATGCGAATCCAAGAGCAGACAGATAAACTGTAAACTTAACAATTTGAATATGTTGTCAAATAATATTGGTTCAGTAAAACTGCAATATGCAAATTAGTGGTGTTGTAATCGAAATATGTTATCTGCGAGGAGCATAAAATAGCATGCCTCAGAGCAAGCCTGTAAATTTTGTTGTGGTAAGATATCTGGGGTAGTCAATTTGTACCAATGACCTCCAGGTATCATTTGCCCGAAGAATGCAATGGTGAGTTACTGGAAGACTAGAGGTACGACTAAGTGGCCAGATGGCTAAATGTGAGTTCTTTTGTGGTTCACACACTTTTACAACAATTTCTAACCATAGCTTCGGCATCCAGGGGGTTCAGCCAAGGATGGCCAACCCCTATAAGGAGGTCTGTACACAAGGCGACCAGCCATTTGCATGCCGCTCACATGATGTCATAGAAGAGAAAGTTTGAAGAGGGCACATCAACCTGTTCTCTTTACAGATGAGTTCAGGTTTTGCCTACAAAGCGATAGTAGGCATTACTTGATTTGGAGAGAACCTGAAACCCATTATCATCCATCAA